AAGTAGGGACCAGGTCTACACACACATTACTGGTATTGAGTCAAAGTAGGGACCAGGTCTACACACACATTACCGGTATTGAGTCAAAGTAAGGACCAGATCTACACACACATTACCGGTATTGAGTCAAAGTAAGGACCAGATCTACACACACATCACTGGTTTTGAGTCAAAGTAGGGACCAGATCTACACACACATCACTGGTTTTGAGTCAAAGTAAGGACCAGATCTACACACACATTACCGGTATTGAGTCAAAGTAAGGACCAGATCTACACACACATCACTGGTTTTGAGTCAAAGTAGGGACCAGATCTACACACACATCACTGGTTTTGAGTCAAAGTAAGGACCAGATCTACACACACATTACCGGTATTGAGTCAAAGTAAGGACCAGATCTACACACACATCACTGGTTTTGAGTCAAAGTAGGGACCAGATCTACACACACATCACTGGTTTTGAGTCAAAGTAAGGACCAGATCTACACACACATTACCGGTATTGAGTCAAAGTAAGGACCAGATCTACACACACATCACTGGTTTTGAGTCAAAGTAGGGACCAGATCTACACACACATCACTGGTTTTGAGTCAAAGTAAGGACCAGATCTACACACACATTACCGTTTTTTAGTTAAAGCAAGGACCAGTTCTACACACACATTACCGTTTTTTAGGCAACGTGGGGATCAGATCAGCACCCTTACTAATATTAAATTTTAAACCTCAATCAAGTAATTTGACAGTAAACTGCTTTAGAATTTTCATTTGAAGAGCAGGTCAGTTTATAAAAAATGTAATTTGAATACAGAAGGAACCTCAAGATCCAAACAGGAAATGGCCCAGAATAGATTTAATAAATGTTATATTTATTATAAATAATTTCCACAAAACCTTTAAACACAAAAAACAGTAAACACAAAATCCATGAAACTCTCTTGCATGTCTAAAAGCAGTTCTCATTGGGTATAACAAGCTTCCACATAACTCTTCCATGTCTGTATACACATTTAGTTAAGTGCAATAGCAAATAATATTAAACGGTAAGCTGTCTATGGAGGATGAGGAGTTCTTGCACTTTACCTAAGTTATCTTCCTTTGAGTCTGAAGATGAATGAAGGTCTCAGGGGGTTAGAGTGAGATGAGGGCAAGTAATTAATAATATAATGTACATTTTTGGGTAAACTCTTAAAACCCACCAGTATGTTCTATTTCTGTTTCTGTCGTATTTTAACTATTTGAAAAAAAAAAAAAACATTAAAAATATTAAAAAATATATTAATAAAGGACTGAACCCCACAAATGCACAGAGACCTTCATCATATAACCAAGCCACCAAAACTCCAAATAGACATCATTTGTTAAGCATTAACTCTACATTAATAGTAAGCAGTTTATAAACACAGCTAGATGCTCTTTTGTTGACTTATAAGCATGTGTAATGTGCTCAATTTTTGTGTTTTCATACTTTGTTTATAATTCATTTTTCATTACTAAATGAAGTATTGCATTATTTACAAACTGTCTAAGAATAATTGGTGTTTTTTAAGATCATTAAGAATGAGTAAATTTATACATTTACTATTCAGGCATATAATCAGGGCTAAAAAAAAAAAAAAAAAAAAAAAAGAAAATCCAATCGGTTCACTCTGAGCAGAATTTATATTTTTTCGGTTCTGTTCTTGCGTTCCTTAATAGACAAAATATTCCGAAAACAGTTTTCTAGAAAAAAAAAAACAAAAAACAAAAAAACTTTATTTAATTACAAAGTATTGCAGGGCTCTAGAGTGCTCTGTTTTTTAATGGTGCAACTAAAAAATCTATACAAGGGGTAAGATTAAATGAATTTTCAATAAGTATCATTAAAGATATATTTATAATATGAACTTGCTTTTGGTTATTGATTGACACGCTGTTTAAAGGCGCTACACACAGCCCCACTCCTTGGTATCGAGCGCAGACCCGGCGCTACATTTAGATGTTGTATAATATGAAATAGCAGTAAAATTATAAAAATTGTTATGAAATAGTTTTTCAGTTATGTAGCCGAATAAAAATATTTAGTACACTGCACAGTGCAATTATTATTTAAATTTATTATATCCATTATTATTAATATTAGTAAAATCTTTTTTAAAAATTTACTTTAGGCTATACTGCTATTTGCTCATGCAAAATTAAACACCAGAAAATATATCGTAGGCCTATATTAAGAGCTAAATTACAGTTAGCATCATAATTAGTTCAATTATGTGCTGTAGGCTATTGATTGACCAACACCCCCTGTATACAGTTTACACACTGCAGGTCTACAGTTCTGATGTGTATTTTGAATTACTTGTTTTAAATGACAGTAAGACATGCTATATTTAGTTTTTATAGTAAAATATACATTATAATCCAGTACAAAGTAAAATAATATTTATTAGTGGCCTATTGGCAGCGTATAGCCGTTAAGCTTATAGTCTAAGCATGTCATTTTATTATTATTAACATAAATTACAAAGTAGCATCCTTATGATTTTATTTCGTTTCTGTATATTTTTATCAAACGAAAAATGCAATGAGTTATACTTTGGTTTTAATTTTATTAGAAATTTAATAGCCGATTAGGCAACACTACTTCTACATGTCATTGGCTCTGATTGCGTTTTTTACAGATAACCTATTTACAAAGATTTTTATTAAACAAGTGCACTACCACAAGATATTTTTGTAGGTGTAAAAATCTAAAAAGTATCATTATCATATTCTTGCCTTATTCATCTTTAATATAAATATAAAATTTAACACATTCATTGATTAAACTAGGGATGCTAACGATTACTCGATTGATTTATTGTCGGCAACCCTTTAAAACCGATAGACCTTATCGATGACCGATTAAGCATGGGCATTTAATAAGTTATGCTTTGCTCTTTGAGATGCGTCCACGATTTCACACATTACATAATCAAGTGTGCGCAGTTTAGGCTACGTTACCCTATGGAGTCGTGCACTCTCTTGACTTTGCATATTGGTTATGCACATATTGGTCATACCTATTATGCTCAGATCTCGTTTATCCGCTGGTGCTGCCATTAATCCGCTGGTCAAGTAATCAAAAAGTAGGCTACATGACGTTTAATTATGGGCAGGTTATTAAGACCAAACATTGGTTGTGCAAACTGTATTACGTTCTCTAAAATTTTAAAGTGTTTTAAGCTACATTATCTTTTATAGACTGGCATAGGCCTAAATACGCATCACGGCCAGACATTTATAGTTTATATAAAAACGAGCGTCACCGTCGCATTTGTTCACATGCTTTAAATTAATGCCTTTTGTCTCCCAAATTCATATAATAAAGAGAACGATAAAATAACATTATTAACCGTTTAACTGTAAACATTTCTGTTCAGAACGATTAAAGTTGATCTTTTTTTTTCGGTTTTCGTTTCTGTTCCTGAAAAATGTCATTTGATTCTGTTTTTCGTTTCCGTTCCTTGAACCGGTTTGGAGCCCTGCATATAATACGTTTTTCTGCATGTTAATTAATGCTTTATTAACTCAACTTCATGCAGTTTTGAGATCTAATCTAAAGTGAGGAATATTGATGCTTTAGAAAATCCCTTATAAATGACAATTAAAGGCTCAGAATCATTCATTTATTCATTTATTTTCATTTTGGTTTTCTCTCTTTATTAATTCGGGGTCGCAACAGCGGATTGAACCACCAACTTATCCAGCACGTTTTTATGCAGCGGATGCCCTTCCAGCTGCAACCCATCCCTGGGACACATCTATACACATACACACTTATTCACGCTCATTTACTGCGGACCATTTTAGGCTACCCAATTCACCTGTACCGCATGTAGGAGCACCTGGAGGAAACCCACACCAACACAGGGAGAACATGCAAACCTTACACAGAAATGCCAACTGACCCAGCCAGGGCTCGAACCAGCGACCTTCTTGCTTTGAGGTGACAGCACTACCTACTGTGTATCAAATAAACAATAAGTATTTGCAATCGTACCTAAACAAATACAATTACTGTAAATTTTAAACATTGCTGAATAACAGGAGTGTCGAAATACAACATCATTTGATAAAACAACAATATAATAATTTAACAATACATTACGTGTAAAGCAATTTTATATTTAGACAAGATTGCAATGATTTACTTTTCATTTGATACAGTTTCATTTGAGCATCTTGTAATAAGTAGAAATTAATAGTAATTTTTTTCCTGTATATAATGTAACTGAGCCTTATATTGTCATTTATAATGGATTGATAAAGCATGAATAGCCCTCGCTTTAGATTAGATCACAAAACTGCATGAAGTTGAGTTCATATATATATTTTTTTTCCATTAATTTCAAGATACACAAATGAAACTATCTAATGAAAAATAAATCTTTGCAATCTTATCAAAATATAAAATTACTGTACAGTGCAAACATCACAGAAACACTGAAATGAATATTGTCATATTGTTAATTGTTGTTTTGAAATGATGTTGTATTTTTATTTTGCAATGTTTAAACTTTACAGAATTTTTTAATAAGATTGCAAAGATTTATTGTTCATTAGATACTGAGCCTTAAATTGACATTTATAAGGGATTTATCAACTATAAACAGTCCTTAGGTCACAAAACTGCATGAAGTTGTGTTATTATAGCATTTACTAACACACATGGTTACAATTACTATATGCCTGAATATAACATGCATAAATGCTCATTTAAAATAGTTTATTAATCATTAAAAACCACCAACTACTCTTAAATACAAATAGTTTGTAAATAATGCAATACATAATATAGTAATGAAAAATGAATCAGTAACAAAGCATGAAAATACAATTAAGTCAAGTCAAGAATACAGCGTTTGAAGCTGTATTTATAAACTGCTTCCTAAAGTCTATTAATGTAGAGTTAGTGCTAAACTAATGATGTATAGTGTATACTTACTATAAAAGTGTTATTCAGATTTTTTATCTAAAGAGCCGAGATTCAGTTTTTAATATAAAAATCCAAAGCTGACCAATCTCTGGTTTTTAGAGCCAATGGTTCAGCTTTCACCACAGCATGTACTTCCTGTTTGCTCCAGGATCTTCTCTTTATGGGACCTATGGGTGGTTAAAATATAAAAAAGAGGTTTTAGTTGCATAAATGTTCAGTCATTTTTACAACATGTGCTGTTATGTTAGTTTAATATTGTGATAGAAATTGCTAGAAAAATATGTCTTGCCTATTATTAAAAATACTTAAGATGGAGATGGATTAAAAAATACTTCCTATTAACTTCAAAACTGGTTAATGGGGTTACACTTTATTCCATAGTCCAGTTTAGACATTCTTCTAACTATGCGTAACTCTGCAACTACGTTAATTATCTCACCGTAAAGTATTATGTATTAGAGTATTTCAATAAGACTAACGCTCATCTGATTATCAGTAGAGTATTAGCAGACTGTTAGCTCAAGTTTAGCTCAAAACACTACACTGTAACACATATCTGTTCATTACCAGTTCCTGTATTTTGTGATTTACAAGTGTTTTTTTTTTTTTGTGGTGGTGAATTGCATTATGGGATGTTGATCTCTGCTCTGTGCACTTGATGTTGAAAATTCAACTCTACAGTTTAACAAAGTGACTTTTACTGACATTTTAGTAGTTTGAAATAATATAATGTATAAGAAATAATATATAGAGATAAATAAGTCTTTAGAAAAACAGAAAATGTACCGGCAGTTTATTACAAGGTTTCTGTAGCATAATATACAACAACAACCCAAACAAAAAGTCACTTTTTTTTACTTTTTAAGATTAAAAGTTGTTGGAAGAAAGATCAAGATCCCATAATGCAATTCAAAAGCAGAAACAAACAGATTTCATAAAAACAAATTATGAAAAACTGCTAATTTAATTATTATTACTTATTTTTATTAATTTTAGAGTGTAGAGTATTAGCTGACAGTTAAGGTTACCTCAATAAAACTGACTCTCATTGGTCTCAGTAAATAGTACAGTACAGCAGACTGTTAGGTTACGCTCAAAATTAGTACAATATGAATATAGTAGTAGTAGTAAAGTAAATTATTAAAATAAAGTGTAACCAGATATGCAATTAGTATATTTTTCCAAAGTATTTAGCAATATTGTTTAACTAACATGAAATGAGACATCAAGTGCAACTGTACTGAAATCATCATAGAAGTAATGTGCTTCTGTCCTGTTTTACCCTACATGTTATGTAAATGAGCTTGTGCATTTGGACTTGTACAATAACACAAGTCAGTCACAAATTAACTTTAATGATCATACCTCTCTTTTTTGTGAATGCTGGGTCTGCTTCACTATCTTCACAGACACTGTACCATGGTGATGATACTTGAGGGGACTCTGAAAGTAAAAATCAAGTCTGAGAGTTGACTTCTTTGCATAAAGCTTACCAAAATATTTATTTGATTTTGTGTTGTTCTTTTTAATGGGTAAAAGCGTGTGATGGTAGCTTAAAAATAGTTTTCAAACATAGCACATACATATCATGATAAAAATAAACATTCTGAAAAAAGAAAAATTCTGATCAGAAAAATAAATAATATTTTTACCTTTTAGATTGGACTTCACCTCCTCCAAAATCACGATCCACTGTAACTTTCTCTGAATGTAAAAACCCACACAAAAATACATCATTTAAAACAATATGGTATATGTTTGCAAATACAAATGTGTATATAACATCCAGAAAATCTGGCACTGTATTACATGTTTGTTTGTAAACCCACGATTTGATCAAGATTCCACCCTTTAAAATCTGCTGAGCGTCTGTTTTTAAGTCCCAGAAAAACTGAGTTGTGGGAACAGAGCAGTTCTCTTCTGCAGTCATACAGTCATAACTCACATACATATGAAGAGTTTGGTTGCAAAATGCGATAAACGGCATTTTTTGACATTTGGATTTTATTATTGGAAATCCCTGTTCAGATGTACCTTAATCTATGTGTGAATTGCTGCCATTAATAACATTTAAGAATGCACATTTTAGGCCAAGTACAAAACGTATTTTTTTTCACAAAACGCAATATCCGTCAGACCAGTTTCTTTACAAAGTGCGATATAACAGTTAGAGAGCGGTCAGGATGCGGCGCGAGCTCAGCATCCCCTGGGAAGAGAGTCATCGCCGGTGAAGTGCTCAGAGTTTGCTCATTGATTTAGCGATAGAAGATGAAGTCTTCAACTTCACAAAAAAATAATAAAAAGGCCACAAAAGTGGACCAGAATAAGATACTTCTGCGTCAACAATACACAAATGCAGCAGGGAACGAGTCTCCGCTGATGTCAAGAGAAGGCCTAGGAGCGCCTTTTTTCCTACTCCCCATCACAAGATACCTGTCTGCAAGTGTCCCTTATAAGTTTATTTTTTAAATAATTTCTTAAATGTAGCTGAGTAGCCTATCTGAAGATTTATTTATGTGGTTGCACCTATTATTTAAAATTAATTCTTGTTGTTGTTGATTTATTACAAAGGAACTTAAAGGGCACATGTTGTTATGGAGAAAACGGTTTAGCTTTTTCACAACCAAATAAATAAGCTATTATTATTATTACAGTGAAATAATTCATTAAATATGACATAGCGAGGCAAGTTTGTGTCACGGACTCAGCTCCGCCCGCTCTAATCATACAGGTTTGGTTTTCTGCAGCGGTGTGGAAGGAGCCGCCCTCCACTCTTTCTGTACCAAGCTAAAGGTCATTTATCTAACTAACTTAATCTTACTTATCAAACAAAACATTGATTCACTAGCTTTTGGTAATGGTATTAATGTAGTATAATATAGCCTAAGGTGGATGTAGCGTTTTGGAAAAAAAAAAAAAAAAGTTATGTTATGTAATGTTGTGTACATTCTGGCCAAATCTAACTTAGAATCTTATTATTATTAATCAATCTTTGCATATATTATCCCATGTTTGACAATGTGGGTTGGATTAATATGTAGCATTTTGGCATGTTTTTTTTATTTAATTATAGACATAAAATTAAATAAAAAATATCCTGGATTTGAAAATATTGTGTTCCTGGCCTTCACTGAGCTCAAGTTATAGTTTAATGTACAGAAATTGTGAATGAACTTGACTGTTGATGTCCTGAAAAATAATGTCAAAATAACCAACATTTTTTTAAATGGATATATCTCGTTCTGCAATGAAACTCTTTATATACAGTTGAAGTCAGAATTATTAGCCCCCCTGAATTATTAGACAGCTTGTTTATTATTTCCCCAATTTCTGTTTAACGGAGAGAAGATTTTTTTCAACACATTTCTAAACATAATAGTTTTAATAACTATTTCTAATAATCATTTCTAATAATGGACTTATTTTCTCTTTGCCATGACGACAGTAAATAATATTAGACTAGATATTCTTTAAGACACTTCTATACAGCTTAAAGTGAAATTTAAAGGCTTCACTAGGGTAATTAGGTTAACTAGGCAGGTTAGGGTAATTAGTCAAGTTATTGTATAACGATGGTTTGTTCTGTAGATTATCGAGAAAAAAATATAGCTTAAAGAGGCTAATAATTTTGTCCCTTAAACGGTGTTTAAAAAAATGTAAACTGTTTTTATTCTAGTCAAAATAAAACAAATAAGACTTTCTCCAGAAGAAAAAAATATTATCAGACACACTGTGAAAATTTCCTTGCTCTGTTAAACATCGTTTAGGAAATATTTAAAAAAGAAGAGAAAAATTCCAAGGGGTCTAATAATTAATACTTCAACTGTATATATATATATATATATATATATATATATATATATATATATATATATATATATATATATATATATATATATATGAAAGTATATACAGTTGAAGTCAGCCCACCTTTTTAAAACTTTTTTACAAATATTTCCCAAATGATGTGTAACAGAGCAGGGAATTTTTTCATAGTATGTCTGATGATATTTTTTTCTTCTGGAGAAAGTCTTATTTGTTTTATTTCAGCTAGAATAAAAGCAGTTTTAATTTTTTATGAACCATTTTAAGGTCAATATTATTATCCCTCCAATAACTTGCCTAGTTACCCTAATTAACTTAGTGAAGCCTTTAAATGTCACTTTAAGCTGTATAGAAGTGTCTTGAAAAATATCTAGTCAAATAATTTTTACTGTCATCATGGCAAAGAGAAAATAAATCAGTTATTAGAGATGAGTTATTAACACTGTTATGATTAGAAATGTGTTTAAAAAATCTGCTTTCCATTAAACAGAAATTTAGTACAAGAAATAAACAAGGGGGCTAATAATTCTGACTTCAACTGTATATAATTAAAAATATATATTTTATATATAATTTTATAAATATTTTATAAAAAATTATTTTATATATTTTTATATATAATTTATAATTTTTATTTTGAAAAATATAATTTAGACAGTAGTACTCAAGGGTCCAGGGGTCTGTTCTTCGGACCTCGCTTAAATAATCTAAGAATATATTACAGATCCTGGATCTTTTAATCTTGATAACTCATCTTAGGCTAATTTGGTTCTTCAAAAAAGTTTGCGAATCAGATTAAACTGATCTGAGAGGTGTTGTGACTGTGTGTTGTGACAGATCTATCGATCCTCAAAATCATTATCAGCAATACAACGATTGGCTGACGGCACAGCAGCGTGATGACATCTGATTAATGGACAGTTATCAAAATTACATGAAATTCGTAGTAAACGGTTCGTTAAATCTGATATGCAATAACAGAGTTGTGAGTCACGTGCTGGAGCAGAGCAGTTCTCTTCCCCTGTCATATGGTCATCCTTCAATAAAAGCTGAATATAAAAAAATATTTATTAGTTAGACAGCAGTACTCAAGGGTCGCGGTCCCCACTATGTCAGACCTTACTGTGTGTGTATTCAGGACTAAGTGTGTTTCACAGCTTCTCTAACATGCCTCTGGTCCCCACAATGTCAGTGCATATGTTCACCAATTAGGACACACACACTGTTTCATTTCTATATTTTGATTAAGTTAAATAATTACAATTAAATACACCACTACTACAACAACAACTACTATTACTACTACAACTAATAATATTAATAATAATAATAATAATAATAATAATTGTTATTATTATTAAATTTAAACACACCTCATCAGAGTTGTGGGTCTCCTACTGGAGCAGAGCAGTTCTCTTCCTCTGTCATATGGTCATCCTTCCATCCTTCAATAAAAGCTGAATAAAAAAAAAAAATATATATATATATATATATTAGTTAGACAGTAGTACTCAAGGGTTCCGGTCCCCACTATGTCAGACCTTACTGTGTGTATTCAGGACTAAGTGTGTTTCACAGTTTCTCTAACATGCCTCTGGTCCCCACAATGTTACACTAGTGCATACATTCATACATTAGGACACACACTCTGTTTCATTTATATATTTTGATTAAGTTAAATAATTACAATTAAATGCACTACTACTACTACAACAACAACTACTACTACTAATAAAAATAATAACAACAACATTAAACACACCTCATCAGAGAGTTGTGGGTCACGTACTGGAGCAGAGCAGTTCTCTTTCTCTGTCATATGGTCATCCTTCAATCAAAGCTGAATAAAAAAAATAAAAATATATATATTAGTTAGACAGCAGTACTCAAGGGTCCCGGTCCCCACTATGTCAGACCTTACTGTGTGTGTATTCACGACTAAGTGTGTTTTACAGCTTCTCTAACATGCCTCTGGTCCCCACAATGTCAGTGCATATGTTCACCAATTAGGACACACACTCTGTTTCATTTCTATATTTTGATTAAGTTAAATAGTTACAATTAAATACACCACTACTACAACAACCACTACTTTCACTACTACAACTAATAATAATAATAATAATAATAATAATAATAATAATAATAATAATAAAAATAATTGTTATTATTATTATTATAAACACACCTCATCAGAGTTGTGGGTCTCCTACTGGATCAGAGCAGTTCTCTTCCTCTGTCATATGGTCATCCTTCAATAAAAGCTGAAAAAATATATATATATATATATATATATATATATATATATATATATATTTTAGTTAGACAGTAGTACTCAAGGGTCCCGGTCTCCACTACGTCAGACATTACTGTGTGTATTCAGGACTAAGTGTGTTTTACAGCTTCTCTAACATGCCTCTGGTCCCCACAATGTTACACCAGTGCATACATTCAAAAATTAGGACACACACTCTGTTTCATTTCTAGATTTTCATTAAGTTAAATAATTACAATTAAATGCACTACTACTACTACAAGAACAACTACTACAACTACTACTAATAAAAATAATAACAACAACATTAAACACACCTCATCAGAGAGTTGTGAGTCTCGTACTGGAGCAGAGCAGTTCTCTTCCTCTGTCATATGGTCATCCTTCAATATAAGCTGAAAATAAAAAAATATATATATTAGTTAGACAGCAGTACTCAAGGGTCGCGGTCCCCACTATGTCAGACCGTACTGTGTGTGTATTCAGGACTAAGTGTGTTTTACAGCTTCTCTAACATGCCTCTGGTCCCCACAATGTCAGTGCATATGTTCACCAATTAGGACACACACACTGTTTCATTTCTATATTTTGATTAAGTTAAATAATTACAATTAAATGCACTACTACTACAACAACAACTACTACTACTACTACAACAACTAGTAATAATAATAATAATAATAACAACAACAACAACAACAACAATATTAATAAACACACCTCATCAGAGTTGTGGGTCTCGTACTGGAGCAGAGCTGTTCTCTCCTTCTGTCATACGGTCATACTTCAGCAAACCTGAATATAAAAATATATATATATTAGTTAGACAGCAGTACTCAAGGGTTCCGGTCCCCACTATGTCAGACCGTACTGTGTGTGTTTCACAGCTTCTCTAACATGCCTCTGGTCCCCACAATGTTACACTAGTGCATGGGTTCACCAATTAGGACACACACTCTATTTCATTTCTAGATTTTGATTAAGATAAATAATTACAATTAAATGCACTACTACTACAACAACAACTACTACTACTACTACTACTACTAATAATAATAATAACAACAACATTAAACACACCTCATCAGAGTTGTGGGTCACGTACTGGAGCAGAGCAGTTCTCTTCCTCTGTCATATGGTCATCCTTCAATATAAGCTGAAAATAAAAAAATATATATTAGTTAGACAGCAGTACTCAAGGGTTCCGGTCCCCACTATGTCAGACCGTACTGTGTGTGTATTCAGGACTAAGTGTGTTTCCCAGTTTCTCTAACATGCCTCTGGTCCCCACAATGTTACACTAGTGCATACGTTCACCAATTAGGACACACACTCTGTTTCATTTCTAGATTTTGATTAAGTTAAATAATTATAATTAAATGCACTACTACTACAACAACAACTACTACTACTACTTCTACTACTAATAATAATAATAATTATTATTATTATTAAATTTAAACACACCTCATTAGAGGGTTGTGGGTCTCCTACTGGAGCAGAGCAGTTGTCTTCTTCTCGTCATATGATCATACTTCAATGAAAGCTAAATATAAAAAACAAAAAATAATAATTAGACAGTAGTACTCAGGGCTCCTGGTCCCCACTATGTCAGACCGTACTGTGTGTGTATTGAGGACTAAGTGTGTTTCACAGCTTCTCTAACATGCCTCTGGTCCCCACAATGTTACACTATTGCATATGTTCATAAATTAGGACACACACTAAGTTAAATAATTACAATTAAATGCACTACTACAGCAACAACATCTACTACTCCTACTACTACTACTACTACTACTAATAATAATAATAATAATAATAAACATACCTCATCAGAGAGTTGTCGGAGCAGTTTTCTTCTGCAGTCATATGGGCATCCTTCAATGAAAGCTATTTAAAAACAGCTTTGTTATATAAGTCATGTCATGACTATAAAGCTTTCATGACAGTCTTATGAACCCCCCTTTAAAGTAAAGCATTACCCAATTAATTAAACTTTTTTACCCATTAAGACAAGAAGAAGATATTAAGAGATTGATTTTATTATCTCTTATGGATGATGCAAACTCTTTATTTTTGAACAGATTTACCCTTAATCTATATTAACATTAAAAAACTCTTAGCTTTGCTGAATGTATTAAGGATTAATGTATTAAGTGATCAAAATGTCAAACCTTTCTCCAAGGCCAATCACATGCGCCATAGTCAAACGTTATTTCCTCTCCAAAGAAAATATCCCTGATTGCAAAAAGGCACAAATGAGGTTTTCTCTGAACAACGATCTTATTGACAGTGCAGTTAGGGTGCAGATCGTCCTCATGATCGGCATCAATGCTGCAAAACTAAGAGAAAAGAGCAAGCAACATTTTAATTGTGCCCTCTCATAGCAATAAAAAGCTAAACTATGGCATGAATACAAACAGAATGAATATAATATATACATGTACATTTGAATGGGGAAAACACTTAACCACCTGTTCTTGTTTTACCATATAAAGTCAAACATAAAGAGAGTATTTTTATTAATATCTCATCTATGCTTTGCTTCCACAAGCTCTATCATTTGTACTCAACCACAAAACTTCCTTTAATAAATGTGGACAACGCAAACTCTGACCTAAAAGATTTAATGAAACGTGTAGGGTTCAAAAACTACAAAAACCTCACATTAGCATCCTCTCTGTGTGTGAATTATAAATACAGTAAACCTTTTGAAGTGGATCAGAACCTTTCAACAATGTTGTTCTAATACTATTGAACACCTGTTCTTCTTTCTTAGGACAGTTTTAAAGAACTTTTTTTCCACTTCAATTGTTTACAGGTCACACTTTACAATCAGGTTTTATTAGTTAATGTGACCTAACATGACCTAGTAATGAACAATGCATGTACAGCATTTATTAATCATAGTTTAACATTTACTAATGCATCATTCAAATCTAAATTCATGCTTGTACCAGTAATAATGCATTGCAATAATTAATGCATTGTGCGTGTTCAACTAGTAATGAACAACTTTATTTTCATTAACTAAAGTTAACAAACATGAACAAATACTGTAATAAAGTATTATTCATTGTTCATGTTAGTAAATGCATTAACCAGCATTAACTAATTTAACCTTATTGTAAAAGGCTACCAGTTGACAGCAAATAAATAAATAAAACACACACAGTGAACATGTACTTTTATATATGTTTTACACTAAGTTGGAGTTTATTATAATTATTTATCTAAAATAAAACGTTTCTACACGTCATAGAACAATAAATTAAGTACATTTCTAGGACCAGATAGCCCCACATTTTAATTATAACCTCTATATTACTACATTAACGTATAAATAGTATATAATAGTGTTATTTCAGGATTAACGTTAAATGTTTAAAGCAATTAACCATTTAAAAAGTACGATACAAGAACTATGAAAACATACCTTAGTAACCTTCTATATATTCGGTTTCCAGTGAATGGGTCTTGTCAGTGGAGCTGGTGATGTGTTTCTCCGCATCTTTTAATGGTTTTATCCTCCGTCGATCCATTTAGCCGCCCGGTGATTGGTGACTGTCTGACCGCGGCTCATGCACTCCACCCCGGCCTCTGACTCACGTAGCACCGGGCAGTTAGCACGTTAGCACATTAGCGCGAGTAACTTTTACTCGTGTAAACAAGTTAAATTACATACCGAACTGTAGTTTGTGTCTTATCAGTGTTATATTAATACGTAATTTGAAACAACATCGATTAAAACACCCAGGAAATTCGTTAAAACATTTAATTAACTATACCTGATAACTGTCAAAATATGCAACATAAGTATTTGTCATATAACCTATTTTATTACATTATGATGGTGAAAAACATTCTAACTTACCCAAAAATTCGAATAATTTGATGATAGATCTTAATTAAGTTGATTAAAGTCGGATTCATTTATGAGATTGCGCATGTGCAGTAGGCAGAGTGTGTGAACTGCGTCAAGTGTGTGTCAGGGTGCAGTACCGCCATCCAACTACAGGACCGCTATAGAGCAGTGCGCCGACACACACTTACACACTCAATTCAGGTAAATGGTCAAGGTGGGGATCAGTGAAAAAAACTGCACTAGGCATATCAGCAACGCCCCCTGAGTCTTTTAAAGGCAAAACATAGTGGGGACCGGGCGATCGGTCCCCACTATGTTTTTGGTCCCCACTTTGTGAGTGTGCTATCATGCTGAGGTCCCCACCATGTAATAAAAACAAACACACACACACACAATAAGACATGTGGAGTGTGTGCTGAATGCTGGATTGTGATTGGCTGATCTCAGTGCATTAATAACTGCAGTAAAACAACATGAGTGTGTGGAGCTGTCAAATCAGCTTCTGAATGACACACAGAGCTTTTAGATCAGATGTGGAGACAGAAAACAGAATGGAAACACAGAAACAGACAGATATAAAGACTGAAGGATTCATTCAATGATCAATTGACAAAAGCGCAGCACAATAATAAAGCAGAATTCAGTGTTAAATGACTTGAAATATGATGGAGATCTTCATCTTCTGTCAAATGCCTCTTCATCATCTCCAAACAGACTCAGAACTCAATCATTCTGAGCTGAGAGTGTGTGATTAGTGATATGAGACTTGCTGAAATCACTCATTTACACATTCACAACTGTGATGACAAATCTGATTCACTGTGGAGCTCAAAGACAAACACTAGTACTTTGTGTGTGTGTGTGTTATATACTATACATCTTGTAAATGCAGATATTTAAATGTTTTTTTTTAAGCTTTTAGAAAAGTATATTTTCAGTTTTTGTAATAAATGTACATTTGTCATTAATTCTTCCTGCAGTTAAGTGTGTATAAACACAGACCATTGAGAAAATAGATTAAACCTGTTTGTTGTCTGAAAGCAGGGTGGTTCTTTAATTTAATATATAATATGGTCAGATATTCTTGGCCAGAGATTATTCAGAGGGCTGTCACATTTAAGTAAAAATCACAAAAAACATATAAATGAAAATGGCTGTCAGGAAAGAGTTAAGAGCATTCAGCGCTACGACATCAGTGCTGCTCCACATACTTGAGTTTGTCCAGTGTGTAGTTTGGATCCTCCAGTTGTTCAGAGAGCAGCTTGACTCCTGAATCTCCTGGATGATTGTAGCTCAGATCCAGCTCTCTCAGGTGTGAGGGGTTTGAAGTCAGAGCTGAAGACAGAAAACCACAGCCTTCCTCTGTCACCATACAGCCAGACAATCTACAAACACAGCAATAGTCCACATCACACAGTTGGACAATCACACATCTCTTTGTGTTGTGAAGATGCTGACTGCTGATTCTGCTCATGTCAACAGCAGTGATGAACACACACATCCTGACAAGCTCTCCTTATTGATCGAGCCCTCACATCAGCAAACACACTCACACACACACTCAACAAGGACTCGACATCATCTGTAGAAGTGTACAGAGCAAAGACATTGTTCAAAATACACCACATCAAGCTGTAAAGTCTGCTGTGAGGAGGAAGAAGACACACTTGAGCTCAGAAGATCAGCTTAAAGTCATGTATAAAACACAACAGGAAATGAGCTGATTTCATCATTTATATTGTGATTCTGTTGTGGATTAAAACAAAATAAAATCAGACAAACACAAACCCGCTCTCTAAATGTGTTCATCACCTGACCCACAGTCACATTCACACTGATGGTCCATTAGGGGACTTTTATTCTGTCAGGAGAGAAACACCTGATCAATATTCATGACTGCTGACTCCTTCACATTCAGCCTTTCCCAGATATTGTTTTAGATGAGCGAGTAATCAGGATTATTTCAGACACTTTATTATGAGACTTTTATTTGTTTTCAAGAAACTGAAACTGCACAAATATGAGAGCAGCTCAAACCTTCAGCAGGACACAAAACAGCTTGACTTTAGCGTTTAACTCTGCTGCTTTCACACCTCCAGATCCACTGTTCTGCTCTGAAACAGGATTAACACTGGTATAATGTTTATTTGTGTTCTTGCTGCGCTTCACTTTCACACAAAAATGTTGAATGTTGACAACCACAGACAGACACAACCTGGTAAAGTTTTCAAACAGTGAACTGAGACTGCAACTATTAGTGAAATCTATATTAAAGGTCTTCAAATATGATTTAGATTTACAGTAATTGTTTTTCATGTTTAAATCTGATTTATTCTTGTGTTTAAAGCGTTTGTCATTCCTCTACTTCAGTGTCTCAGACTCATTCAGAAATGATTATTAAATGCTGGATTAATGCACAAGAGAGTTTGGCGAACACGTTTTACACCATTTCAAATATATATTATATGTGCCGCTGTATAAGACACATACAGCGCTCAGCATAATGGAGGACAGCCCATTCTGAAGTGATGTTTTGTGACCTTGTCCAAACAGCAAATTTCCATGAGGATGACACGGCTCTTCTTGCATACTCCAAGCCGAAGTCCAGCGCATCAGCACTCGGCAGAGCATATCAACAGAGTCCGCGGCCTTAACTTAGGCCCACCACGCCGCCGCTCTACCAGACACCAGCAACAAACCTGAGCCGCTCCCCAGTTTGGCAACCACTGGCCCAGATCAAGCGAGTGCCAGGCCGCCGCTCTACAGGCGAAGCGCCACCATCGGCCAATTCGCCATGACAGCGTGAGTATGTCTCCGCTACGGCCTCGTCCATCCCCCACGCACGGAACATTTCCATTTAGTTGTGCCCGCAATGCCATTGCTCTTGGCACCCCAAATTTAGGAATAACAAGCCTATCCGCTCGTGAGTGTGACGTCACGCGAAGCGGCTTCCAGGTCCAAGCGCTGTATTTAACTGCATGGGGAGACTCACAAAATGGTAATTATAACGTTTACAAAGCGATTTATTACTTTCGAAAATCATGATCACAATATTATGTCTATGCCTCATATATGACGCAAGTGATTCATTTTTATAAATTGTTAAAATTTGGTATTTGTTATGCAGCAAGCCCAAAATTGGTTATGTACACTATGACATCTTATAAACTAACTTAATGTGTAATATGATTAAAATTGATCTTAAACTAATAATTTCGCAACTTACTGCACGGGGAGACTCATGAAATGTTAATTATAATGTTTACAAAGTGATTTAATACTTCGAAAATCATGATCGCAATACATATGTCCACACCTCATATCTGATGGCCAGAAAGTGATACATTTTTAAAAATTGTTAAGATTTTGGCATTTGTTATGCAGCAAGCCCAAATAGGATTTTTTTTATAAAATTAACTTTATCGTGTGATAAGAATTAAAAGCGATTATAAACGAATAAATTTCTCAACTCAAATAAGTGGCAGCTTGGACCCAGAAACAGTATTACATACGTCACCAACAGGTTACCACTTAACAAACGGACTCTTCCCTCATGCCGCTTGCAGATTAGCCAGGTTTGTTAAGGCCTTGACGTAGTTCCAGTGTGAGGCTGCCTCCGCTGATGTCACTAACGCCGCCAGCCCCGTCTCTCTTCTCTTTTCCTTCCACCTGTGATCCTAGGGCCATCAGTAGCGCGAGCATGCCTCCGCAACTGCTCTAGCCCCCAACTTTCTTCAGGCCCTGACGCAAGTTCCAGCATGAGGCCACCTCTGCTGACGTCACTAATGCTGGCAGCCTCTTATCTTTTCCTTCCACCTGTAATCCTAGGGCCATCAGTAGCGCAAGCATGCCTTTTTACTATTTCAACCCCTAAACGTTTGCTAATCCTGGTCATTAACCCCTTCAAGTAGTTTTATTATAAGGTTACTGCCGCACAGGGACCACTCCCACTGGGGACGCATACCCTATTATGTACTACTGCAAGCGCCGTGACTGCTTCTACGGGAGATGTACACCGTATTATTATGCACCACTGCTAGCGCAGTGACCATTCTCACTAGAGACGCACACCTTATTTATCATGCACCACTACAAGCGCAGTTACCGCTCCTACAGGAGTCACACATCTTATCATTTTGTATCATTGCAAGCGCAGTGACTGCTCCTACAGGAGTCGCACAGCTTATCATTTTGTACTATTGCAAATGACTTACCGCTCCTACTGGAGTCAGACTCCTTATCATTATGGACTACTGCAAGCGCAGTGACCGATTCTACGGGGGATGCACACCTTATTTCAATCTACTGCTAGTGCAGTGACCACTCCTACAGGAGACGCACACCTTATTATCATGCACTACTGCTAGCACAGTGACCGCTCCTACGAGGGACGCATACATTAATATTATGTACCACTGCAAGCGCAGCGACCGCTCCTACGGGAGACGTACATGTTATAATTATGCACCTTATTATTATGCACCTCTGCAAGCGCAGTGACCGCTCCTATGGGAGACACACACTTGATTACACACTACTGCTAGTGCAGTGACCACTCCTACGGGACATGCACATCTTATTATGCACCATTGTTAATGCAGTGACTGCTCCTGCTCATGGGAGCAGACACTCTTGCTGGAGACATTCATCATGCACCACTATCAACACAGCAACTGCTTCCTCCCGAAACACATACCTTACAACTCAACAGCACCCCTCCAAATTTTTTAGACCAGAAAACTTTGGGGGGCTTGCACATTGTCTGGCTGCTGACCTGTAACCAATAGCGTTTTTTATGGAGCGTTCTGGGGCCGAGCTAGATATTCCGCTCGAATCCCAACTCCTCTTTGTTTCCTAATAAGGGGAACAACTCGAGTTGGGGTGTCTCTTCGAGCTCAGAGCCCTCCCCCCAGACAGCATGCCAAATATGCTTTATACTTAAACGAATGCAAGTGTGAACTCGTGAAGTGATGTTTTGTAAACAAATTTCGGGACAACCCCTATATATACCAAAGCTGTCTTACCTGCAGCATCTCACGACTTTAGCATTTGTCCACCACTTCGTCACCTCACCTCTTGCATTGCATTCCCGGTGGGAGCGTTCTGGGGCTGGGCTAGATACTTCACTCGAATCCCAACTCCTCTTTGTTTCCTGATAAGGGGAATAACTCGAGTTGGGGTGTCTCCTCGAGCTCAGAGCCCTCCCCCCGGACAGCACGAGAACATTTATTTTGGCGCTCCTACATTTATTGTGGAGCTCCTGCATTTAATCTGGCACTCCTACATTTATTTTGGCGCTCCTACATTTATTCTGGCGCTCCTGCATTTATTCTGGCGCTCCTGCATTTATTCTGGCGCTCCTACATTTATTCTGTCGCTCCTGCATTTATTCTG